TGCTTCTAGTTTACGGTAGTCATGGCACAGAATTTCTGTGAACCATACATAAACTGGGGTACCACTTTGCCCTGAAAGCAGGGGTCATTTCGTAGAAAAAGAGGTGCAGGAGCTCATTAGCATAACTCATTAGCATAACTTGTTTGCATATGCCACACCCCCTGACATCACTGGAAGTGTGTCAGAAGGCAACATCCACCACTCAGGCTTTACTGAACTGTTTTGAATTGCAAGCTATTGGGGGGGGGGGAGATGTGCAGATCTGTCATCGCAGAGGAGGCAGAGCTTGTACCTGAATAAAACTTGGTCTTAAAGGTGCCACTGGGCTGTTTGGGGCCTGGGGGCCAGGGGGGCTCTGCAACTTACCTGGTTGCTTCTTGCTCTGACTGAGGGCTGCTGAGAGCAGGGGGTGGGGCTTGTTGCATGTGCTGGCCCCCTGGGCTCTTTACTGCCGGAGCTCTGCTCCTGTGCGCTTCTGCAGGAAATGACCTCTGCTTGAAAGACTTTCAATGTATATGATATGCGAGAACCCCTCTTTAAAAACAAACAAACAAAAAACCCTTAAAGTTCCTGTTGCTGCTCCTTGGGCAGAGTCAGTGACATGGGAAAGCTGAGCTGACCATGAGGCAGATGGTTAGAACGCTACACCTAAATATCTGAGCACTTTAACTAGTTCAATCTCATGGCCCTCTGTCTGCCACTTGTGGTTATCAAACCTTTCAGAGAAAACAAGAATCCTGGTCTTTAAAAGATTGATTGTTAAATGCTCCTCTTTGCAGTAACCCAACAACAACAACAACAACAATAATAAAGAAAATAATAAAAATGACCTCTTCTTCTCGCAATGATGGTAGCTTTTGTTTATTACAGAATAATCTATTTTACATTTCTTTTACTATCTCAAAAAGGCACCTGGGAATCCACCAACCATAATTATTTATTTCTGGTTCATGAGAACTAGGACACAGGCGGACAATGTCCTTGTAATCTTGGCCACAGTCAATTTTCACAATACCCTTTCTGGTAGTCCCATGTTAGGTATGGAGAACACATGGAATTCACTGCCACAGGAAGTGGTGGCGGCTACAAGCATGGACGGCTTCAAGAGGGAATTAGAGAAGCATATGGAGCAGAGGTCCATCAGTGGCTATTAGCCACAAGGTATAGATAGGGGCTCTGGGGCAAGTGATGCTCTGTCTTCTTAGTGCTTGGGGGGGGTCAACAGTGGGAGGGCTTCTAATGTCCTGGCCCCACTGCTGA